TGGGAGCCTTACATTCCGACAGCTAATATGTTAAGAGCAGAGCCAGTGTGTCTACGAGGAGTGGTGGAAGGTTCTCCAAGTGTATATATCGTATGCTGTCCGAACGCATGATGTATCGTATGTATGGTGTTGTTCGATTTTCCAACGACGAAATAGTATATCGGATTTAGGAACGAAGAACCGGTAGGATGAGATACCCATTTTTCTTTGTTTTGTATAAGGGCAGGAGGACTTGGCTATTGAAGCGATTCGAATAGTAATCGTCAATGATTTTCTTCATTGCCTTTCTGGAAGGTGTAGCTGTTCCAACCGGGCGTCGGAGTGCAATCATCTTGGTCTCGCAAATGGTGGAGCTTCGATGGGCTTCGCGAGCGCTTTTTACAGCCTTTACAAGTTTGACTATTACTGCTGCTTCTCTCTTTAAGATCTTCTTTTATCGCCTGTCTGCATTGTTTTCCAAGTTCGGACGTGAGTTATCGATTGCGTGTAGCTCGTGCGATTCCAGGCTGACGTATAAACTCGAGTGACTCTGAAGACAGACGTCTATTAGTGGCTTTCGAACTCTCAACTTTCATAGCGCTAACGTGAGGATATCGAATGAACCGGCCGTATCCCTCGCCGATGCTGCGGATGACGGATATATACATATATGTAATATAGATGTAATAATATTTACGGTTATAAAGCGTATAAATATAGATAGTAACTCTACACATAGACATATAGTATAATACCTACTTGGATGGGCCGTCTTCTCCGGTTGTGCAGTCTCCGCCATAATTTGCATTTCCAGGAATTTTGCCGGTTTAGCCATTGTGGTCCGCTGGAGTGCCAAGCACAGCCTATCCAAGGTCCGCACAAGGTCATCGCCACCATAGCCAACCTCCGCCCTTGTGAATGAGAGAGCGATTTGCCACTACGCGACTAGCTTAGTCCTAGGACTGTGATAGGACCACACTTAACATCACGGCTCTGAGGAAGGCGAAGTCGCCGAAACGACCAACAACATCAAAAACAACGACAACGACAACGAAGACCTGTACCAACCTCGCGTCAGCTTAAGAAGATCAGTTTATAAGATCATATAAATAAACATGTGAGAAATCAGTTGTCGGTAGTAGGTATTGGTTTTGCAATCATGGGCAACTAGCCCTACAATACTGGCTCGAAAAACATTGCCGCAATTTGTCCATGCGTGGTCTACCGCCTGGAAACCGGAATAGATTCGCAATTAACCATTTAGAGAATGGTATAACATGATTCTGAACAATTGCTGGCGTATTTGTCATATTTTCTGAAAATCGTCATCTCTCGGTGAATAGCTGTGGGTTCTTTGTCGGACTATGTGGGGCAGTTGCAGGCAGTAGAGGGAGAGAATGATTGAGTTGAATCGTGCGGAAAATGGTTACTACCATGAAGTGCAGGCGAATTGTACACATGACTGGTTGTTTTCAGTTCGCTGGCCTCTGAATTTCCAGAACAGATTATCGGCGTCCCTCAATTGATGACGAAAACCGAAATCTTTAAGCAGAAATGTACTGCTTCCTTAGGCTAGAGTGAGCCCTATTGAAAGCATGGTTTTTCTAACGAATGGAAAGGTAATGAGAGACCGCGATCAAATAACGGCTAAACCGCAAAGTTGTGCCGTTTAATTTCTATTTACCGTCATAGCAAATTACCTAAAATTTTTACTTTTAGCTATATCGATCGAGGGAGCGGTGGTACTAATACTGATCATTCCGCATCTGGCTCATCAAGCCTCTCTTCCCTCTGAGGTCGGGAAATTGATACCGCACTTCTCTGAGAAAAGAGGCTCTACAATCCAAATGAGAACCCTCTAGCCCGACTACCTCAGGACTTCAGAGAAAAATGATTCGATCAGCATTCAACAACTTTAATGATGAAAGGAAAGATTTTCAAGCACTAGCCGGAGAAACACGTAATTTGTTGGAAGACCACCGTGGACGATGGATGCAAGGAAACGAATCGAATGTGAGAAGTTCTAGGATCTGCTCATCAGATGTGAAAGAAGAGTTGTGTGTAAAAAAGTATGCAAAGAAATAGGGGGTAAACAGACATGAGGAAACAATTAAAGCATAAAATGGATGAAACTCTTGGTCCTGATCAATCCATTGGGGATGCGCCATGCATTCGACTCTATCGAGAATCGTTGGAAGTGACTTAATGCATATCTGGCCTTTCCAATGACTCGTAGTGGACAATGTATCGACTCGGTGCTGAAATCCTTCCAGACAAGTCTGGTACCATATTGCCGATCCCGGAGGGATGGAGGGCTTGGCGATCCTGGGGCGCGGGATCGAACCCAGGTGCATTGTAGGGCACTTCTTAGCACTGCACTAAAGGCACTCTCTTCAAAAACTGCTGATATTCGTAACTTTCTGAAAGGATTAGTCTTTCTTTATTATCGTTCTCACCTTAGTGGTAGCAAAATATGACCTTCTGCATGATTTATTTGGAACTCGAATTCGAATCGGGCGCCAATGAGTACAAAAAATGAATCCAAAACTGGATTTGCATATCGATGTCGTCAATATTCCAGTATTCACATTCATTATCAGACAGTTGAAAGATTTCTAACCGAAATTTACTGATGAGTTAGCACTAAGAGAAAGAAAATAACGCTTGAAGATCTCCCTGATGCCTAAAATATGGGTCAAAATTGTGTTACTCATGAGCCTAATGGCGTGAAGAAGCTTTAAAAAGAACTTCATCGTTCAGTTATCCTTTGTAGCCTTAAGAATAACTTCGTCGATCGACTAAATTTTAGTACTATAAAAGATAAAGGATAAAGCTCTAGGCGTAAATCAATCCCTGAGGGATGAGCCATGCATTCGACTTCACTAAGCAACGTTTGGGAGTGATTGAATGCATATCTGGCCTTTGCAGTGACTCGCGGTGGCCTACCGATGTATCGAGCCAGTGCTGCTATCCTTCCAGACAAGTCTGGTGCCAATTTACCGACTCCGGAGGGATGGAAGGATTGGTGGGCCATGGGCGTGGAGATCAATTCCACGTGTGTGTAGCAATGGCGCCTCCAACCACTGCGCCACATGCGCCCCGTAGTACTTTCTAGTAGTAGTGATATAAATGTCGCGCTAAGAAACTATTATTACTAATGACGAAAAATAGAAGACCTCAACGTATTTCCTACACTTGCCCATGACAGCATCACCAGCTTGCTCCCACAAGCTAGCTCTTACACAAACTATAGATCAACTAGAAGAAATGTGGGTCGGCTTGTTATGGCGGTGCAGTGTAGAACACTTCGCACTCCATAAACAAATGTTTGCCCCATAAAGTTGAATTATGATATAAATTGTGTCTTTCATATTTTTCAAAGGATTACATTTCAAAACGTCAATTTGTACAAATCTCCCTCTACTGGGTGCACTTGTAGTCCAGTGTTTAGAGGCTCACTGCCAATATTCATGGGTTCGATCTAACACCCCAGACTCACCAAGCTTTCGATCTATTCGGGGTCGGCAAATTGGTACCGGACCCGTCTAGGAAAACAGCAGCGCTGACTCAATACTTCAGTGGGCTACTGCAAGTTATTGTATTGACCAAATATGCATTCAATCACCTCTAACGTTTCTTGATGAAGTCGAATTTACAGCTCATCCCTCAAGGAATGTTCAAAGCTGAAAACTTTATCCGTTGTCTTTATCCTCTTGCTACGAAACCAAATTCTGACTTACATAGCGTAAAAATCTCGAAACTTCAATCACCAGGTGTGAAGCCAAGAAAGGGTTAAACACGCACAGAGTAAAGCTGTTTTGGAAAATTTTCTCTCAGCAGATCCTAACTTTACAGTGACTAAGACCGCTGATATCCCTTTGCTATTGACGGTGATAAACTGGAAGGTTTGCTGGCAGCAAAACACGCCTAACTCTTTCAGAAGGTGCAGAAGAAACTAGGTGCAAAGATCATGCTTCGAATCATTAGAAAAAGTGAAAAAGCTGGACGGTTGGATGCTGCACGATTTGACGATACGTCACACTACCGACCCTGCATAGGTTGAGCGAGCTTTGCCTCGAAACTCTGCCCCATTCGCCTCACTTTCCAGGCCTCTCGCCGGTCGACTACCACTTTCCGAAGTACCATACGGAATTTTATGCATCTGGTATAAATAATCTTTTTCCTCATCAGAAAAAATGTATAGATTTTTTCGATTGGGAAACCTTGTTCTGAGCTAAGTTATGCCACTTGAAAGATAGCGGTTGAAAATCCTACGTTAATTTTCGAACATCCTTATAAAAATGCCTGTAAGTCTGTCGTCCCGTAGGACTAAACGCACTTATTCAATCCCTCCACTTTTTCGAATATAAATTTAGACACTAAATAAAAAATACTCGTCTAATGAGGAAAACTAGGATTTCATTGCGGTGTAATAAATGAAACTGTACATGCCAAAGATACGAGGTATCAACAAGTTTTGACTCAACGAATGAATTTCGTTATGAGTTGGGACATGCTTGTTGAAAAATTTAGCTCTTAATTGTTATCACGTATGCATTGAAATCAATACATCGTTAAAGATATACTAAGAACTGGCCTGTGCTTACTGGTTGGCTTACGGTTCAATGAGTTATCGGTTATCAGTTAAGTATCGGTGTATCAGTTATATTCCTTTGTATTTCAAACACGATATTAGCGATAGTGTTGAGCCAGTTCTAATCAGAAAAAGTAAACAGTGTAAAGGACATGAAAGAGTGTCAACAAATTAGTGAGTAAAATGTGGAATGCCCGATGTCATTCACTCGTAAAAGGGTATAACAATCTAAGCCCTTGTACTTCAGTAAGTTCTTCAACACCTTTTCACGGTTTCAAAATCCGTCATCACTTTACATTTCCTCCGGAATTTCTCTTTGCCAATTCTTTCTTTTCAAATTTCTCAGTTCATCAGCGTGAACATAAATTTAGATATCGAATAGAACTGTGAATACTGTTCGGCGAAGATTCAGCTTCTTCCAGAGACGATGACTCGAGTAACACGTCGAGTGCTGCAGATGAGTGACCGCGAACTGGACGCTGTGATAGCTGTCGCTATGCCCGGACGCAAAGTGGAAGGAATGCGAAGGGATGAGCGGCAGGAAATATGCATGAAATGGTCGGCTGTTGTTACTAGAATGGTGTATTTGTTATATGTGAGTAACAAATGCCATAGTAATGCGCATGAATTTCAGGCTATTCGCCAACGGTCTTTCTATTAATCATTTGTTCACAATCGACGTTGAAGATGATGACATCTACGTGCTGATGAGCAACAAGTCGTCCTGCTGCTGTTGTCCAAAAGGTACTTAGTTCCCTCTTTGAATACGTCGATAGTTAGCAATTCTTGTACGTGTATATGAATTGGCATCACTTTACTGTTGTTATTGGAGACGGCTGGCTAACAAGCAAAGTTCTTCAGTGGCGAAGAATGCAAAAAAAAATATAACGAATCGATAGAAGTGGCGCAGTGGCTGGAAGCACCCTACAACACGCACGTAGAATCGATGCTGACGACCATGGGGTACCAAGTCTTCCATCCGTCCGGGTTCGGCAAACTGATGCCAAACTTATCTGGAAGGACAGCAGCACTGGCTCGGTACATCGGTAGACCACCGCGATTCATTGCAAAGGCCGAATATATATTCTATCCCCTCCAAACGATGCTTAATGAAGTCGAATGCATGACGCATCTCTCAGGGATTGATCAACGCCGAAAGCTTTCTTTTATGGTTATTCCCAGGATCCCGAAAAGTAAACTGACATTGCGTGGCTTTGTTTTAACAATGCTAGAAGTTAAATAGGCCTGAATCATTCATACGGGCCTCTCAGATCTCCTTTGATCCATCACTCACCCACGAAATAACAACGTCCTATTTTCTTATTCCTTTATTTCGCCTTTTCGCCAAACCATTAAGCTGCAATGGAGATCGAAACAGCTTCACTTGAGAGATTCTAGAAGAAACAAAATATCTTCTCCATTATCCACTTCAACACTGAGATGGATCTAAGGAAGACGTCCGAAGGCCATCACATTGAGGCGTCCATACAATAACTGATACTTACTTGTTACTTGAACGGCTCGTCCTCACTAGTTGTGCGGGCCCAGCATAATCTCCATTTTTGGGAGATTTGCTGGTTAAGCTTGGGAGACCCTGCAGGGTGGACGAATCGCCTCGCTCTACATCGCATTCCGACACCCAGGAACACCTTCCAGCTACTATGAGGCGGTAAACCATTGGGAGGACCATTGCTGAACAATGTTCAATATGAAATCGAAGAATATATATTGGTTAGGCCTAAAGAATATGTAAATCATTATAGGAAAGCTATCTTTCTCAGCCTCAGCTTAACTGGGTTCAATACCGATGTGGGCTTCCCAGATCAATCACATTGACGGGTGGTTGCTGACGACACTGTTCCACAGAACTTGCTGAGAGGCAGGCAAAACGAAGGACCCGGATGGTGTGGTGGTGAAGTGCGCTGCTCCCCGGAAAGGATAATAGCGCGCGTTCGTTCTCCACCGCATAAACCTGCGGTCCGGAGTTTTGCAAATATCTCAGCATCGTTGTAGTTGTATCTTTCTAGTGTGAAACTAGTGTGACTAAGCATTATCTGCCTTAACTAGGTTAGGAAAGTGGAAGCTTTGATCGTATCATTTAGAAATGGCTTGTGAAAGTGGCGATTAACTGTAATTTCGTCGACGATCAAAATTTCTTTCATTACACTTTATTGACCTATCTTCATCCGAACTCAACTACGGTACCTATATTAATCAACCTGCATTCGAAAATAGTTTTTGATGTTTGAGGTGAAAATAGATTTCCTCAGCCAAACTTTGTTACAAAAGTGTTCACAGCAGGTATATGCGGTGGGGAACGAACGCGCGCTATTGTCCTTACCGGGTAAGATTGTGATTATAACTAAGCCTCAGCTTAACTGGGTTCAATGCCGATTTGGGCTCCCCAGATCAATCCCGTTGACGGGTGATTGCTAATGGCAAAAGATCAATAGAACTAGCTGAGAGACAAGCAAAACGAAGGGCCCGGATGGTGTGGTGGTGAAGTGCGCTGCTCTCCGGAAAGGACAATAGCGCGCGTTCGTTCTCAACCGCATACATTTGCGGTCCGGAGTTTTGCAAATATCTCAGCATTATATACGAGTTATATTTCGCAGCATAACCTGCCATTAAAAAGAAAAAGGCAGTAAATAAAAGGGTTAAGAGTGTTCACAGCTTTACGCGGTTACTAGCAATAACACTGGACCGCTTCCATTCGTATTTATACCTATGTTATACATTTGTATACTTAATTCGAAAGTAACGCATCGTCGGCAAACATGAAGTTTTAGAGATTTTTTCAGACAATGACGTTGTGAGCGTGAAGCAATTCGACAGCGGTGCGATCGGTACAAGCTTAGCGATATTCAGTAAACTGGAAGAAGAAGGTGTCGTTGAGCTACAGCTGCCGATCAAGCTGAGCAGTTAGGGTGTTCGAACACTCTAGTTTATATAATATACGAATTCAAGTTTTCCATCATTACGCACTGAGCGAACTTGGTGAATTGACACGAGGTTGTTAACACGTTTTCCGATTTTCAAAGGCTAACGTTTCGGGGGGCTCTCTCCTTTTGTATCAATGGAGCGAGTCATATTCTTGTATAAGTTTGCTTAGTCAGTATTCCACATTGCTAATGAATAAATATTACACGAACTTTAGTCTGTTAAAAAGCACTAGCCAATTTTCTGTTGCTCGCAGTTTCTAAAAAGTGAGAATCAGAATTGTAGAATCAAATGCATAAAAGAAATTCTTGAAAACATTTTGAGGACATATATTCTTTTATTGATAAGCTAATAAGGCTTGTAAAAAGCTTTATTCGGCTAACTTTTTGACATCTTACGACCCGGATCATCGGCTCCGAGGAAGACGAAGACGTCGAAACGTTAGCCGAATAGATAAATTTGTCAACCTCATGTTTGCTCATCAATGAAACAGTAAACATTGATTGCTCATTTCAAGATTAGAAAACTTGGGTTTCTAAATATTTTTTAAAAGATTTCAAAAATCCTAAGAATTGACCGAAATTATAAATCCTTCCGCACTTCGCGGGTCTTTGGCACCGTTTCTCAATTTAGTTTCCTATCTTTTAAGATCTGAAGGAGTTCCATTTATAATCGAAATATAAAAGGCATTCTAGAACTTTTCAGACAGTCAAAGATCGCACTCAGCAGGAGATCTTCAACAGCCGAAAGTGCATGTCAGAACAAAATCAGATGATAACGTGAGTTCGAACTGAGCCCGACGGTCTTGACATCCAAAAAATAGGTGGAATCCAGTCTGATTCAGCTTTCAAGTATAGGCGAAGGAAAACTTGAAGCAAAAATAATCCTAAGATTTCCTTTGTATTCAATTATTTCATCAACGATTCTGTGGTGGTGTCAGTCGAGCACCTTGACCAACATTTATATGTGTTTTCGTTCATTACCCTCAGGGTTTGGAATCAAGTGGATGGTTGTTGCCTTACAGATACTATCTTCAAATTCCTCCAATCCTCCAATGCCACCTCCTAGACGTGATCATGTAAGACCCATTACGACACAGCCGAAGCCACAAGAGGGTATTGAGTCGAAGTTGCAGCCAATGAAAAAAGAAGGTGAGCACATGTTTTCCCGGCAGATAAGCCCGGAAGGTAATGTGGTATTTGATTAAGATTAGAAGTATTTCGCTGCATTTTAAAACCTCAATGATATTATTGAAAGATTACCATTAGCATAAGAGTAATATTCGTTTTACAGAGTTTTTATAAGCCATAACCACAATGTTGCCGAGATTGGCGGGTGATTACTAATAGCTCCTATAGGTCAATAACACTGCTGAGAGATAGGCGAAAGGAAGGACCCGCATGGTGCGGTGGTGAACTCGTTAGCTCCCGGAAACGGAAATAGCGCGTTCGGTCCTCACCACAGGCACCATCGGTTAGGAGTTTTGCACACGTCTTAGGAACATTGTGGTTATAACTCGTATATCGATAGACTGAGATAGCTGAGAAACAGGCGAAACGAAGGACCCGCTTGGTGCGGTGGTGAACGCGCTACTCCCCGGAAAGGGCAATAGCGCTTTCGTTCTCCACCGCAAACACCTGAGATCCGGAGCTTTGCAAATATCTCGGCATTATACGAGTTATACTTCGCAACATGCTTTGCCATTAAAAAGAATAGGCAGTAAATAAAAAGGTTAAGATTGTGGTTATATTTCACGTAATACCCTGCCATTAAAAAAGTGGTAGATAGTAAATAAAAATTGAGGACATTATGTAAACCATGTTTGGAACTAGAAATTGATGACGTAATGCCGTCACACAGTAAACTTAAATAAAGCGTTCATGAAATCGAATCCAATCAGAGATAAAATCATTTCTGGCGATTTATCAGAACATGCAAATTTAAATATAAGGTCAAAATTTTCTTACCTGTATCAATGTAACAGTATTTATCTCATGATAGTCGCGTGGCTACGTAGCGCTTCTCTAGCTGATGAATGTGGGTTAGAAAGCTGCTAAAGACGACAAGCTACTCATTCCGCTCCTCATACAGCAGATGGACTTCTTTTTTCTCCTATGACTTTCACGTACACCGTCCCTATAAATGCAGGGGCGTCATTATCCTTGCGCACGACGGGGTCCCTTCATACATGAGTATAAAACCGGACAGCTCTCCGTGGGAAAATCCTGAGATCCACTGCGCGGTAAAAGGAAGAAAATACGAGCCAGCTCTAACAAATAAGCTTGACGTGTACTGGAGTACGACACGTTACCCATGTGTACGCCTAATGTCTCGTGGAAACTAAGCTGTTTAGGAATATTATTTCCCAAAAGGGCTAAAAAGACAGGCTTTCATTCTTTTGCCTTCTAATGAGCCCTTAATACTGGAACGTTAGGTACGACGAAAAAGAACAGGCTTCTAAATTTTCAGCCACATTTCATGCTGTTTAGAATTGAACGGATTAAAATGGCGATCTGTGCAACGCTCACATACTCAACCATCGATTATAAAAAAGTTAAGTACGATGTAAGCGACTAAATGAAAAGAAAAGCTTTTCCATTCTTCCCGTCGAAAGCCTCTTGTCATGCCAGAAAAAACTATTCTTACACCGCAATCCCACTGTCCTGGAGTCAGTGCATTGGTTACCTCATCAGCATAGACTATGCTAGAAGCAACGATTCCATCACAACGACCGTCACCCAAATCAAGCTTCGCTGGAGGTCCAACACTGGCCTAAGACAACGATAAACTCTAACCAATTTTATGGACTCCT